AACAACAACAACAACAACAATAATAATTAATATGATTATTATTATCAATAAAACTATTTTGCAATATTATACAAAATATTTATACAAATATTATCTATCTATCTATCTATCTATCTATCTATCTATCTATCTATCTATCTATCTATCTATCTATCTATCTATCTATCTGAGCATTGGAGAGCCCAGTGCCCCTTTAGTCTCAGACTCCACCCTTTTATGCAGATCTGTTTGCTGTGTGTTAGGGAACTCCAATATGCATTTAGGTCCTTTCACACAGTCTTCATCTCTGAATTCCCATCTCTTAAATGTCATGAGTAGCGCTGTGCTCTTTTGTGTGAAAGATTGAGGGCAAAGGGTGATATGCCCGAATGCACGGCAGGGTCACCGCTTACGCTGACCTCACAGACACAACAGATTCTTTTCATTCATGATATATGCATGCGGAGAGCATTGCATCTTCTTTAATTCCAATTCCAATTTGGTTGTCAAAAGAGACCAGAATACAAGACAAAAACAGACAAAAGAATTTGGTTTGCGGCCATTTTGATTGTTGGAGCAGTTATATAGAGCAATATAAATGTGCTCCTGGTGGGCAGGTGCTCCTGTACGGGATGATGCCTACAGAGCACCACTTCATCATACACTGACAGAAGGCATTAGAGCATACGCATACCATCTGAGTGTGCATACATGTCCATGTGTACACACAAGGCCATGTCATAAATTCACACCTGTTCCCTTAAACACAGCCACACACACCCAGAGCTGAACTTAACACATGCTTCATTGACATACCAGGGCTTCCTTCCAACTGAACCACCCACACGGTAAACCACTTGACTTATCGAATACCACAGTGCTCTTCTAGGAAAAAGATAGTAAAAACATGCCTAATTAAAGCATAATTCCCAATTTGGATACGAAAGTCAAAATTACATTTCATAGTTTTTCTTAGTGGTTTTAGAATCTTGAAGTGTATATATTGTAAAAAATAACATGTGTATATTGTGGTATATGTAGTGAGACCCATTTTTAAAAAAAATCATGCTTTAATTTGAATCACAATGAGGTATACAGCCAAATTTATGACATAAGTGAAATTAAATATTGAGATGTCATATTTTTATGCAATAATGACCTCTTATTTTTGTCGTTTTAATTATGAAATTACAAAAATTATGACGCAAATCGTAATTATCTCAATTTTGACGCTTTAATCTCACAATTGACTTTTTTTATTCTGAGATTGTTAAAATTTAGATAGTATCTCAATTTCAACTTTAAATCTCATAACTATGACTATCTCAACGTCATTTGACTTTTTTATCTTGTAACATTGACTTTGTCATAACTTTGACCTTTTTAACCCATAATGACTTGATGTCTCACATTTCAACTATTTATTTCATAATTTCAATTTAGTATCTCATTATTTGGGCTTTTTATTTAATAACTATGATGATTTTTCCTTTATATGGCAGAAATTGGCTTCTATTATGTTTGTTTGCATCACCCACTATTTCAAATACGGTCTATGCTATTTATACACTTAATTTGATTTACTACGGTCTAGACTGCATACTCGTCATTGATGTCTTACAACTGCTCTATGGAAAGATTGTTTCTCAAATTTCTCTCTGACTGGATGATTTGACTCATAACACATTTTTCATACTACAACTACATTTCAACGAATTAGAACACAAATTTAAAAAGATAAACAACTTTTCACTTGTATTGCACAAAGTCATGCAAAATTCTGTCGCAATGCTCCTCACACGTTTACTTTATTAGCTTACCAACAATGCCATTTGTACTGCGGAAAAACAGCAAAATTGCCAAGTCCTCAGGAAAGACATTTTACAGCTTAATACTGATGAATAAACATTGTGATCTCATTCTGAAAGGTGCGTATGCCAAACGTTGTGTGCTAATTGTATCTAACTTCAGTATCTGTTACTGAAAATGAGCCTATTAGCTTGTTCCAGAAAATGAGCTAATAAAACGTCATTTTCCACATAAAGATAAACTGAATACACCATAAATGCAATAGCTGCCGGTGCCAACAATGTTATACGTGAGTGCTAGATGTTAAAAACCTACATTCGTTGTAATGCAGGTTTGACCTTCTCTAAAAATTCATTTCGTTTTAGGCTAAGGGTTACAGATAAAGTTTGAAAATCTGCATCAATCTGTGAGTATTAAATGTAAAACATCTCAGCAAGCATACTTTGGCTGTGAGCGTGAAGGTTTTTTAAAAAGGGTTAGCAATGACCAAAAGCATCCTAGAGCTCTACCAGGACTCTCAATAAAAATCCCCCAAGAGCTTTGGAGGGAGACGCTGCCAAAGGCGCTTAGATCGCAGCTCCCTGTTAACTCAACATGTGCTTATGCACTTAACTCATTCTCTCTCTCCTTCTCATGTTCGTATGCACGCGCACACTTATGCTCCGTTCTAAAACCAAACATGCTGCCAACCTAGACTGCATTTTAGGCATCACAAGCTATGTTTCCATCACCCTATTTTAATGTGCATTTTGAAGAAGGCCTATCGCATGAGAAACGAGTGATGGAAATGCCAAATTTCGAATAAAAATCCCTTAATTCGCCAAAAAGTTTTACACTCGCTCGGTTTTTGACTTTGAAAAAGGGCTGATGCGAATAATGGGAGATGGAAATGCATTTTGCGAATAAATTCCTCCAAGCGCATCAAAAAGTCATGTGACTTTGCGCTATGGGACGGCAAAACCTGACTAACCAGCGGACCGATCTCATTCCACGGCATCTGAAAAATGGTCATTCGGAAAAGCACGAGCAAAGTCTGTCATCAAAGTATTTCTGTATAATTGCCTCCCAGAAATGTCTTACATGACTACGTTCAAACAGCAGCATCCACCTCCGAAAGCAATGACCGCATTCATTGTGTTTCATCTGCTCGCTCTGAGGTGCAAGTAATTTATTATATAAAATTGATGAATTATTACTGAAAATTATTATATTCTCCTACTTCTCTTAGTGATTTATAGTGCCAGTTTATCAGGAAGTGACGATTTTGTGCTCTTTGACTTGTTGGATAGAAACGATGCTTGTTCGCAAATGTTTTATACGATATTCGAGTTTTTTTGTATATAAGTTAAATTCGCAGCTTTGGATGGAAACCCGGCTACAGGCACCCAAATGCAAGCAGTTTCAAAAATATACAGCAGGCATCTTAATTATAAGACTAATTCTAATGCAGCATAACATATTTCCTATATTTACTCGTCCTAGTGTTGGCTTAGCAACACGATATTGTCAAACTCTATTGGAATCAAATGATTTGAGTCAAATATCCCACTATTTGTGTGCCACACAGACGTGCTGCCTATTGACACAGTGTTCAAATTGGTCATTTAGCTCATTAGGTTTTAAAACAGAGCTTTACTTCCAAGATTCCAGTAGTTCATAAGTAAAATGCTACCCAAGACGTGCCTTGATTTCCTCTAAGATCTCCTTAAATGTAAGTGTGATTTTTCTCAACAATAATGCCTTAATACAGCCACAAAAACATAGAAAAATCAACTGTTTGCAGGGGTAATGCAATCACGAAAATAATGGAAAGAGAGGAAAGAGCTCATCATGCATTCAGAGAAGATATGGCTGTCTGGCTATCATTACGGCAGTGAGTGAGCAGAGGTGTGAGGAATGTGTGCCCAGATCATTACACCCTGATCCAGGCAAAAGAGCGTTTGAATGTGAATGTTTATCATGATATGGAAAAATACTTTGTGACACTGGGTTACAATTTAAGTGGATAAAATGCTATTAGAAGTTAAGGTTGGATGTATTTTTTCCTTGCCATTTTTGAATTGGCAGACAATAGCGACCGATATATATTCTGTATCAACAGTTACAATAAAAAAGTAGTTTTTTGATTGAATACAAACATGAATGCAAACATTATTTAGGTAAAAAAATCTTTACACTATGGCATGAGAGTTCAATGGGCCTGTAATCCTCAGTCCCATTTGTGCACACGTCAGTTTAGTTTGCGCTGACTAGCTGAGGGTTATGATGTCAGTGGGTTTTGATGGTCGATGGTAAATCCTCTCGACAAGCCAGGGTTGAGCAAAAGTCGACCTGATGGTCGGATGCTTGAAGAGCAGAAATCTGCACAGTAAGGAGCTAGGCACCACTGAGTGCAATCCTTCTAATATCATTGATTTCCCTGTCCTGCTTTCGCCACCAAAAAATTATTTTGCACACATACACACTGACTGCTGCGGTTGTTTATGAGTGATCGCCGCACTAATTACTGTTCTCATGTAAACACAATACATCCACATCATTAGACCTCATTAAAGGAGCATTAATTACGATTGCACTCTGGCCGTTGATAATACAATTTCAGAAGGTTAGCCAGGCCTTTTCAGCCTCACTCGAAAATGTTCCAATTATAAAGGGTTCATTAAAAACAGGAGTTTACTGGGGACTGACTTCACCCGTGACGGGTTCGGATGAACGGTAGTTTGAGAAAGCAGAACGGATCATTGAAATCTAAAGAGCCGGCATTCAGCAAACTCCAAATCAAGGCGGTAAACATAGCTGCAATAAGGTTGTCGAAATTTGATGTGGTGCAGAAACGTTTTCTTGCAATTACAGGTCGTCGTGCGCTGCCAAGCGAAAATACAAACATCTCTGGCCAGATGCATGTATGTAAATGCACCAAACAAACACCAATTTTCTTTTGATTGCCCTCTGCTCTTGCATTTTTCTACTGCATTACGAAGAAAAAAACCCAATACGGTTTGTTACGGTTCACTCAGTTGAACATACATGCCAAAATGTTTTCCAAATTTCATCCTGATGGAAAGCAAACACCACACATTAAATTTTATACAAATTATCCACCAGCACACACATGCACTATCCATCCATGCACTATCCAAGAGTTTAGGAAATCAGATCCATGTGTATAAAAACACAGCTGGTTTTCCAAATGGCGGATAAAGGCTGTTTACCTTTAGGAAGAGAGCGGGAACCTGCTGCAGCTTCAACCTGTGGAAGACAAACACGTCGTACATGGCAGCCACGGCCAGCACGGTCACGCCCTGCTCCTTCCAAAGCATGCTACAGGAAGCACACGCCAAGGTGCCCAAGAACCACGTCCAGCTCCGTCCATGGGCACCGCTCATCCTCAGTGAGCAGTGGCGTAAGTAGCAACGCAGGGCCAGGAGGAAGAAGAGGGCGGCCCCTACATCAGCACGGCCCACAATGCCTGCCACAGCCTCGGTGTGGATGGGGTGAGCGGCAAAGAGAAGCCCGGCCAGCAGGCTCCAGCAACCCGACCCCAGCAGCAGGCTTGAGAGGCTAGAGAACAGGGCAGTCGTGGCGCAGTGTAGAACCACATTGACCAGGTGGAAACCCCAGGGATCTAAGCCGCCCAGGGCGTAGTTGAGTCGAAAGGAGAGCGTGCAGAGCGGGCGGTAGGACTTGTGGCTACCGCTGTGGGTGAGGAGTGTCCCCCAGAAGTCATCGTAGAAGATGTTGATCCAAGGCGTTTCAGGGAGAAGGTCCTGGTTGGTCTTGATAGCACGGCTGTGTGGAGAAAAAAAAATAGTTTAAGAATCAGATTTAAATTTATAAAAGTCAATTAATTTACTATAGTGTGCACAAGGATATTGCTTTTAAGAGTGAAAGTTGGGTCAGTCCTCATACCACATCACTTGTTCTGTTAGTGTATGAGCTATGACAGACATTCATCACTTGCTGAAGTTTTAACACAGCAGTCTTGACAAAAGATCAGGAGAGGGCATGACTAAAACACACATCACAGACATGAGACCATATGTGAAAGTATAACTCTGCATGTAAACTGAACAATAACAAAATCTTTCAGCTTTGTCAAAGTCATTCAGTAAGACAAGCGTCACTACTATTGATTTTCAAACCCGCTAATGCGGAGTATTAAACTTTGGAATGTAACTCTTCCTAGACCATTGCAGTTGCAGACATGAATGAATGGCAGGACTGAGCAATATTTATTTAAGAGCCCAAAAATGTTTCTTTCAAAAATTCTTGTTTACCTCTACATATACTGTTGCATTTAAAGGGGTCATATGATGTTGCTAAAAAGAACATCATTTTGTGTATTTGGTGTAATGAAATGTGTTTATGCAGTTTAAGGTTCAAAAAACATTATTTTCCACATACTGTACATTATTGTTTCTCCTCTATGCCCTGCCTTTCTGAAATGCGTCGATTTTTACAAAGCTCATCGGTCTGAAAAGCGAGGTGTGCCCTGATTGGCCAGCTATCCAGTGCGTTGTGATTGGCCGAATACCTCAAGCATGTGACGGAAATGTTACTCCCCTTATAATACTGTGATGCAATGTCCCGGCCGGAGCGACGAGACTAAAACATTAAAACCCATTATAAACGAGGCAATTTGTTGCATCCAGTGGGGACAAAATTATGGATTATAATGACTTATACTGTCTTTTTACGCGTTGCTTTGCATTGTGCCGCGTAAACATAAAACTAGGGTGACCATATGTGCCATTTTCCCAGGACGGGTCTTGGCCAGGATTTCTATATTGCTTAAAATATCTAGGTTTTGGCTTTGTTTGCATGTGCAGATCGATCGGTGTATGACATCAAAATACCTCGAGAGCATTTTGAAAGCATAAGGAACCGTCTGTATGGTATTTTGATGTCATACACCGATCGGTCTGCACACGCAAACAAAGCCAAAACCTAGATATTTTGGGCAATATAGAAATCCTGGCCAGGACGCGTCCTGGGAAAATGGCACGTATGGTCACCCTACATAAAACCATGTCTGCATTTGTGATCGGAGAAATGACAAACAACAAGCGCTACTCTACACTGCTCAAAACTCGCGTTTGAATCATCAGTGGCAAATCCTTTAAATATGAAAACGTACTTACAGTCTGTGAGTCAGAACAGCCGGCATTGTAGTCTACTCTCCCAGGATCAGGAAACAATCCTCCATAAAATGCGTTGCACACATCTGAATATTTGGGTTGAACTGTTCTGGAACAGTGTTGTAAATACAACTTAACCACTGATTTCTAGCCGTGTCCTCTTTTGGAAGACCAAACAAAGTATTTTGTTTGACTGGACCAGTCTTAACTTTTATAAAGAATATCTCTTTGGGTTTGAGACTTTAATCTCTGCAACTTTATGGATCTTATCTATTCACGAACAGCTTGTAACCCTCCAAAAAGAAAGGAAAACTTGAAATCGCATCATATGACCACTTTAATCAAACTCTTCCATGATATTCTGCTCAGGAATAAAAGTCAGTTAAAACAATAAATTTAACATTCCTCACACAAAGATGACCTTCTAGTTAAGCCTGTGAGGTTTGACTGGGACACAATAAGATAGAAAGAAAGATAAGGAGGAAATTGATTTTGACTTTCCTCAAAGTTTAGAAACTGCAGACATGTACCGCACCCTTGGCCAAAAACAAATAAAAGCTCAACAAAAAGACAGGAACCTCCATTTAGCCTTAAGCAAGCAAGAAGTGGTAACAAATGCCTGTCGATCACACCAACCCGAATATGCCAGAAACTGTCTATTGGCTATCCTGAAGAAACTGAGACGAAGAGAAAGAGAAAGCTAATGGGAATGCAAAATGCATAAAGACAGCCAATTTAGAAGAGAATGAGTGAATGGAAGGATAAATGTGCAGTTTACTCCTTGGGAGAAGGCTTTGGGACTCTAAATATGTCTAAGGAAGGCCTTATAAAAGTGTAGAGTTGTTCAGGGAACAGGAGGAGGCAGGGCAGGATACGCTCTGGAGGCAATAGACACACACTGTGCCCACGTTGTCTGACTGCGTCGCGCCGCCCAAGGCAAAAGCAAGACAAGCAAACACCACAAACACGTGTAAACAAAGAAACTAGAGTTACGTTATCCCATGTGCAGTCATCTGTGCCAAAAACCATGTCATTCAAACCCAAGGCGGTGGTATCTTGCTGTGAAACAAACACCCCCTTCTACCTCCTATGATCGTGAATGTATGCCTGAGCAGAAGAAGATGGTGCCGAACCGTAGAGCATAATTAGTCTCTTTAGAGAGTGCAAGCAATGACATAAGCTGTAATTAAAACAAGCAAGGGGAAATACGTGACAAGTGCGATAACGCACCATCAGTGCAACTGAATAATCAGTCTTCACAGTAATGGCGCCAAGAACGTGCAATTAACACAGAATGGAGACAAAAGGTTTAATGGAAACATGTTTACAATAGAAAGATATAATGCAAAAAGAGCAATGGATCCCTGGCTGTAGAGTGAGCCAAAGTCTTTGATCATTTGCCACTTGCTAGCACACTTGCCAGCCAGCATCGAACGCCTGTCTACCAGTCACCCATGAGAACAGATGGAACTGGGGAAAGTGAGGATATGTTACAAAAGACGAAACTGGCAAAAAAGAACTGGTTCAAGGACATGCTTCAACTTCTTGTTTGTCTTGGGGGAAATTTTCAACAAGACGTGATGAAATTGCAGCCATTGCCTTGTAAGAGTCCACAAGAAAAACAGATGCTCTGAGAACTACATTTCTCAGTGAGATAAAGCTCTCCGTCATCGGACACATTTCAATTCCCTTCCTTGACTTTGAATCACTCACTTTCTTGGTAGAATTTCATGTTTTTTTCCCCTCAAGCATACCTTCTTTATTTTTTCCAAGCCATTCATCAAATTAGATCTTCATCCTTCCGAACAAAAGGATAACACGAGAGCCATTGTGGCTCAATTACACCTCTGATTCATTTGGAAGGGGTTGCCAATTTACTGGATATTTTGGTGAACCAAAGAAAACAAACACCATTGCCTGAAGACTCGACACCCAACAGCCCAGACACGACAACAGACTCTGTGCCAGGCTTGGCAGGCAGGGGCTTCCGAGATCGGCTTTCACGTGAAGTGTAAATCAAAAAGGAACACTTGGAGCTCTGGTGGAGGATTGTAACTGAATCTCAGGAACAGTGGAAGCTCTCGGATTGCATGACGAGTACATGAATTCTTGAGCCAATGCCTGATTTGGCTTGACAGCACCCCGAGGAAGTCGGACTCCCTAGAATGATTCTAATTGGTGTTAGTGAGACAAATAATGTGAAAGCTAATCTCTGGCATGGGCTGATCATTCTTACCAATAAAGGAAGTAGAGAAGGACAGAACCTAGAGTCCAGCAGAAGCTTTTTTACATGCAAGAGTGCATTCTTACTCTTGACAACTCTCAGGGGACCCAGAGTATCACGCGATCCCAAAACTGGCCTCTTTGCTTCATCTAGAGTCCAATCAGCATGCTGGGGATACTGTGACCACATCTGTCAAAGCATGTTTGCTTATCGCTCTATCCCTGCCGTGACTGGCACGATGTTACGTTTTGCCCGACCCCAGCTCTAATGAGAAGTGAAATCCAAAATAAGTCCTTTGTAATCTAGAGCCCAGATCCCTCAGACTGGGAGCAAGATTTAGCTCTGCGGCCATGAGAGGAGCTTAAATGCTGCGGTGTCGATAGCAGGCTGCAACCTCAATGTTTTTGGACAAGTACAGCTTTGCTACATCCAAAACAAAGGCTTATAATTCGAACCAAAAGCAAAACAAACCATGCAAAGAGTCTGGTCTCTGGAATCAAAAGCAACAAGTGACCTACGGAATGACCATATTCCATGGGTTGCCTTACTTTCTTTACGAACTGGATGGATACCTAGTCTCGACGCATGATTAGCTTAGCGCACAGAGTAATTCTCTCTGCCAAAATGCATGAACGTCAGCTGGTGTTCGTATAATGCAAGTACATTAAGGGTCTATACGTTATAATGAAACAAACATAGCTCCCTTGAAATCCAGATATTCTTCTGAAAGTTTGAGACAATGCACAATTGTTTTCTATTTGTGCCAGCAAGTGAAAAGAGGGGGGAAAAGAGCACAGGCATTAGGGAGATGTGTTTTTCGGTCTGCCAAGTATGTGTCATCACCCGGCTACAGTGTCTGAAAGGGCCGCAGTCATATTTTGAGAGTGCCTACAGAGAGGCCGTCCGGTCTGTCCACTCTGCTCTCCTGCCTGGGCTTTTGTCTATGGTTTCTTCCCATGAGAGTGCCTGCAGGTCAATAACAGAATACCATCCCCTTATGTGGTGCTTATGCCAGAAGAGCTCTCAGGGACAACAGCCTTGTTCTATTGTGCAGTTTCATGAAGAAAAGCTGCACGGGCTATAAAAGAGGAAAATCAATTAATTTGTCGGAATAAAGGACTGAAATGTTGATGAAACTCCTTCCAAGCTGAGCAGCTCACACAAAGTACATGTGTCTTTCATTCTTTCAGTTCTTCCTTAATTCATTCACTCTCTCTTTCTATCAGTTGTTCATTTGTTCTTTCAATCTTTCTTTCTTTCTTTCATTTAATCTGTAATTTTTTTCCTTCAGTCATTCTAACCTTCATTCTTTCATTCTGCTGGTCATTCTTTCATACTTTTTTATTCATTCTAGGGGTCATTATTTCATACTATGTCATTAGTTCATTCATTAATTCATTCATTCTTTTGCATTCATTCATTCTTCT